GCGTGTTCGACGAATACACGACGCGTCATGTACTATGTATAGAGATGATAAAAGGAATTCCAGTCGACAAATGTGTCGATTTGGACCAAAAAGTTCGTAATTGGGTATGGTTATTTTATAGTTGGATTTTTTTAATTCCTACTTTTTTCAGATAGGAAAAAAAATTTTAGGCCTTTGTCTTCGTGAACTTTTCGAGTTTCACTTCATGCAGACCGATCCCAACTGGTCTAACTTTTTCTACGATGGCAGCCAAGAAAAGGTAAAGACTGATAAACGAAACAATGCAACTATTGTAGGTTTCATTCACCTTCGAAAAACGTAACTAATTAGTTGCTGTAGGGTTTTTGCGAATAACCGTAGAAATAATCAAAGCTTGTGATTGAAGGATTACGACTTCGAGTCTCGATCAGGTGTAAATTAGTGGCAAGAGACCAGAAGCATGCAAAGGTCTACACGCAGTACTGACCGCCTCTCTGTAAATATTCAGTTCTAAAAGACAGAAACATGGCCTTAATACTGGTGCATAAGAAACAAACGGTTAGAGGTCTAGTGTATTTAACTGAGGCCTATTACTTTATTAGTGTGCATTTATTTGTTCCGCTGAAGAAGCACCGTTGTAGATTCTGAAAGATTCAATTGATTAATAAATATTTTTTAGGCCTCTAACCGCTTCTTTCTTTTTCTATTATCTGTAGATATTATTACCTTTTAAATGCAGGGCATTCCTGGTGTTTATGGTATCACACATAAGCTCAGTGAACGAAATTCGATTTCATGTGAATCTAAGATACGTCGTCATCGCAGAATTCAATCAGGGATTTTTTTCTGTAAAGCACTCGCAGACAATTGTCTTGAAGACCACAAATCGCTTCGTTTTTTCTTTTTTTAAATTACTGACCTTGGTAGCTTTAGATTGTTCTTCTTGACTTTGGGGCTTCAAGGTCGTACGAAACCAGGTTCGTGGACAAGTACAGAAAAATTCTGAAGGCGGCATACGACGAGGATCGAGAGGCGATTTTGCGGCATTCGCGTGAGATTGGCTTTTTGACAGGATACGAGTCGAAGGTCTGCAGCAGCGTTTCTCGTTTACTGCAGTCATTAAAATATTGAGCAAATATTTTAGGTCATGGAAAATGCTCACTGTGCCGCTGTGATGACATTAGGTGAGGCATTCAGGTCTCCTGGCTTTTTTGATTTTGGTGTTCAAAGTACGACGGCGCGCATCAACCAGCTAATTCCAGTGATGATAGAGCACAGGTGAGTTGTATTCTGTATCCATGCCGCACTGAATAAACGTTGTTTTCAGGCTGAAGCCTCCACCGGAAGAAATTTATTCTTTGCACCGAAAACTGGCTGGTACATTTTTGCTGTGTTCGAAACTGAAATCTCAGGTTGAATGCAGCGAACTTTTCAGGCCTGTGTACGAAACTCATACGCCAGATTAGTAAAAGTTTCCACTTATTTGACCAACACAGTGGTACAAAAGTTTTTAATCTGAAGCGGAAAAATTCAGCTCCAGTGATATATTGAATGCCTCAAGGTATATACCATCCTTTCATAACAAGCTGTTGTTAATTTGTACAGATCATCATTTTGGGCCGCTTGTATGGGCAAAACGTCTCTGGATCGTGATAGCCGTAGATATTCGCAGCTTTTCAATAGTTTAGCTATAAGGCACTGAAAACTGCGTCATTTCTCTCTGACCGTAGAGTTGCCTATATGTGTGCCAGTTGCCAGGGTTCGGTGATCACTGGAGCCATCTTTGGCAGCTCTTAATTCTAAAGCTGGGAGGTCAGCTATCGGTCTGTGCTGCTGATTAATAGTAGGTTTGGGACAGCAGACGCGAACGGGATCACTCAATCCACCCACAGTTTGTATTCTTTGCCACGAGTGACACTGTCGCGGGACGGAAGACTAATACCTTTTTGCAGGCCTATTTCCTTTTTCTTTATGCAGGCACCCTTTGATCATCTGAGGAATATCCTTCCTACGTAAAGTGCTGCGTAATCCCAGAGGTTTTTCATGGACAACTATGCAGTTTGTAACAGAGATCCGGCGATGTGTATGTCCAGAAACAAAACTGACGTTATAGGAAAATTTGATAGCTACCAAATGGTAAATATACAAACGCTTTCCATCAAGAATGTTTGTTGACACAACACTGTATAATGAGTATTCCATTTCTCTCTGGTCATTTCTGAAGCATGTTCAGCACGAATAAACAATGACATATTTCATTACGATTCTACGACGTTTCAGTTTTTGGAAAGTGATCTCTTTCCATTCTCTCGCATTAATCTATCTTCTTTATCTGCTCATACAAACTGCGGCTCTTTGAGCAGTGTTTCGTTGCCTCCACGTAACGTGCCGCAGTGACGTGGCAATTTGTACTGCAACTGCTGTAAAAACTGAAAGCGGCGAACTTTCCCGAAACGATTATGCGATCGTCAAAAGATATAAAGCATTCTGTTATATATCCTGAATACAGAATTCTTGTATCGATGTTTTGTGGCTTTCAAATTCTGTTGCTCATGAAGTCCCATCGTTCTATAACTGATGGATCAGTTTCTGTTTAACATTTTTTCTGTCTCTGAAACGCCACAGAAAAAAACGTTATCTCCGTAAATGAGATCAGCAAAGACTCAGCATCAACTTGCAATCGAGCATTCGTTAGAGGCAAAAGTCCGTAGGAATGAGCATGCAGCATCGTCTCACTCCAGATGATGCTGAATCGCTCGGACAGACGAATAGGTCATATTAAACCATACCGAGCTAACGTCGCTACCGAGCTAAGACGAATGAAATGTTGACCTTTTGTGAAATATGTGGTACAAAACTTTTACGGGGGCACCACGTTCAAATGTAACGCGGAAACGACGTTGTTGACGTTGGCCGTTAGCTGTGAGGCGAAACGCAGCAGACCGTCGTCGACGACCACATTTCGAAACAGATCCGCGCATTCGCGGTTCAGTTCGAACGGGCATGTCTCCTTGTAATGGTTTTTGATGGCCACTGTAGAATCAACGTGGAAATTCGGCCGCAAATTTCGGCGCAGTCTATCAAGCGGGTAATGGTTGAAGACCGTTTTCACGTTGCTCACCACCATGAACGATTTACAGTAGAAACCGCGCTTGCTGATCGACGCCGAGCGTCGTGTGTGCCTCAGCATGTGCATGTACGGGGGATAGAGGTCTGTTTGTTCAACAGTCATGTTGTCGAAAAAGAAGGCGTTCGACACGGCGACGCCGGTGAACGATTCTGGAGGCCATCTGGCAGTGCTAGCCTGGCGAACGATGTCCTCAAGCATTTCGTACCAGTTGCGGTGGCGACGTGGCACGATCAGCTCGTCGACGTCTACCAGCAGAATGTACCGATGGCTGTACAGATGCCGGTACAGACAGTCGTTGTAAGGAATAAGTTCAAGGCGTCGTTTCTGTAGCCGGTTCCGGTTCACGAACCGGTTCCTGACCCACGGCACGTTCGGCATGTTGCCTGGCAGCGAGATCGGTAGGTGCACCAGGCGTCCGCCACTCTCGTACATCTCGATCACACTCGCCATAGTCTTGGGTACCGCGTAAGTGTAGAAGACGATGCGGTCGGCGCTCATCACAAACGTCGCCTCAATCCACTCGACGAGCCGCACCGAATAATCGGTGACGAAGTCAAGGCCCTTGACACAGACGGCTATGTTGCCGACGGTCGAGTTTCGACCACTCGCAGGCACCCCGACCCTCAGAGCAACGTTGCTATGCGCAACACAGGGTACGTCGTTAATCGATACGACGAATCCCTCAGGACGTCGTGCAACACCCTCGCCGTTCCGGTCCTTCGCCACCGGGCAGGTTATTAGATACGGCTGGTAGAATTCATGTCGTGGGTCGAAACGTTGAGGCCAGATCAACGTTACGAACG